GAGTGGTTTGCTTAGATATGTTCAGCAGAAGGTCACTCAGAGTTAGTGCCAGTCCTTGCAGGTCATCGCCGGTGACGGGTACAAGCGGTCGGTTGTCGAGTATCCTTTCCGCCTCTACCAGAAATGTGCTCAAGGTTTCATCATCCGGCGCCTGTTGTTCACATAACGCCGTCAATATTTTTCGCATCAACCGTATAAGTCGTTTCCAAACTCCTCCGCGGTGACTGCTGTAAGGTGGGTTGAAGTGACATTGGGATGACAATCGGTCATGCAGCGCGCATTTGCCTAACCGCGTCAACCACTTCCTCAACTCCATTTGGTATTAAAAACCCTTGATTATGGTTCGCCTAAGCCGACGCCCATTTCTGTGCCCACCGCGTTTACTCCAAAAATATTATGTTTTCCCACAGATTCACATCCCTGCCTACAGACATTGTGGAACATTTGTGTGAGTTTATCAGCACTATACCAGAAAATGACTCATATACTCGGTTGAAGGAAGCTTTGATTACCCACACGGATTGGATGAGTTCTTTGGTTCGAAAAACTAAAGGGCTATCCTGCAACAACCATTTTTGGCAGTTGAACCTCTTCTGTGTGCGTAGGAGACGTCTAAGAGGAGACCTGATTGAAGTCTTCAGACAAACGAAGAACACCGACCTAGGTCTCTTGCCTCTGAGATCCCCGAGAGAACTAAGGGGCCACGAATCTCACTTTAAAAAAGTTGGATGTGAGGAAACATTTCTTCACCAACATGCTGGTCAAATTGTGGAATCGCCTCCTTGGAAGACTCGTTCAACTAAACATAGTACAAGCCTTTAAGACGGAATTAGATAGAGTATGCGCCGATACCTTTCCGGAAGTGACCTTAAACATGAAGGAAATAAGCTCCTTCTTTTTATCATAACATGACATAACGTGGTGCGCATGCATAGCATGCACACGCAGGATTCCTTACTCTCAAGTGTACGTAAGTCTCTCACCGTCACGGCTAGAAGACATTTTGTTCCCTCTTTTTTTCAGCTTGTCGAAAATAGGGAATACAACTACTACAACCGAATCTCACATCCTCGAACGGTCGCGGAACTATCAACCGTGATGTAAGCCGGACAGACATAAAAATCGATCGGTATACCGACGAGGTCGAGCTAGAATCAGGACAACCATAAGGTCGAGGCCTCAAATCCTGGAAATTTTCATTGGATTAGAGTTTTGTTTTAATGTCTCGACGTCGAGGTTACCCTTGAGGGCGTGTCATTTCGAACCCCGAGTTCACGATGATGCAAGGCGTGTATGGCGAGTCAGCTGTGAATCTGTCCGATTTTATGATTCCCAATGATTGTATCAGATCTTCGCAGTTCAATGGTATATCCGATTTACCTTCATGCCAAAGTTCTTTGGATTGCAATCTCTCTTGTCCCTCCGCGTATACATACTCTCAGACTGTACAACGTATAAAACCAGAATATACCCTCCGAACGCCTAACTCCGTACCGCCCTACAATACTCAGATTTCTAGTCCTTTCTGTTTCGACTCTTCTGTCATCCCAAGAAGTACCAGTTGTTCAGATGGTATTTCACCTCCGAATATTTCGAGTATGGTGCCAAATTTTGGATCCTCACAAATCCCGTTTTCCACTGAGACTCCCACCATTCCGTCAGAAAACACGGCTGTTACTACAACGGTTGGTAAAGCAAGAGCCCGTAGACGCACGAAGAGTGTTACGCAAAAACCAAAAGCTGCTGAACTTTCCAAATCCCAAGAGTCGCCTTTGTCCCTGAGCACCAAATCTAAATTGGGAAGTTCAGAAGAGGATTCCAAGAGTGCTGTTTCTCCCTGTTCATCTTCCGAAGTGAACTCAAATTCGAAAGATGATAGATATCTACAACGTCGTCTGCGCAATAACTTGGCTGCTAAACGATCACGGGACAACCGGAAACGTCGGGAAGACACAATAGCTATGCGCGCGAGTTACTTAGAGAAGTCTAACCTTGTCCTTCAAACGCAAATTCTTGCACTAAAGAGGGAGATTTGTATGCTTCGAGGTATTCCATTTGATCCGAATTACCGAGCACGAGTTCCAGAATCTCATCTCTTGCCGACCCAGGATGCTGTACCTCAAAACTTTTTCCCTGCCGAACTCCTTAATCCTGCGAATGTCCTTACCACCAGTTCATGCTCAATCGAACCAACTATAGTACCGTCCACTGCTTATACGAACGATATGTTCCTTGAGCATTCCGTACTTGGTCAGAGGTGAATGTTACACTGTGCTTTCGTTTTGCATTTGGTTTATCTCACCTACTTTGCTTTTGTGATGAGCTGTACCACGACTAATGCTCTCCAGGTGATCCTCAAACTGTTGGTAGAGACAGAGATTTACTTTGTAGTTTTTTAACGAACAATTATCCGCATTTTAGTACTTTTCCTGCTTCATTACCGAAATTGGAGCAAGTGATGATCCCAGTGTACTTTATCAGAGACTTGCAAAACTGCAACTCACGCGTCCTGCCGGCACATAATGTACTCAATTTCAAATACTGAATTTATACTATCATGAATATTACCTATTTCGATCGGTTGTCTTTTTCTCTTGGGCCCAAGATCATTTCTCATTGCACATATAGATTAAAGAGGGATCGACTTTCCAAGATTTACAATCAGTCAGGTCAGTTCGGCTCACAGGACGTAGCGGCGGTGTGCCAATTTGCCCAACTTATTGCGCCGATGGGCTCCGTGGATTCCCTGGTGCTAAGACAACAGGAAGGTATAACTCTTCTTCAGAAAATCTGTGGCACCGTCTCGGTATCCGGTTGTCGGTGAAGGGTCGAGTGGATGCTGCCGCAGTTCAGCCAGTTCTGCTATACGGCGCAGAAACCTGGTCATTAAGGTAGTAGGTTGAGAATAGAGTGTCGGTGTTTGAACACCGCTGTCTACGCAGTATTGCACGAATCTGGTGGGGAAACCGGACGAGCAATGCCGCGGTTCGGCGTAGAGTTTTGAATAACCGTGGTAATCCACTGAAGCAAGTGTTCGACCTCCATAGATTACGTTGATCGGGACATGTGTTACGTATGTCACCAGATAGGTTGCCACGGCGAGCGATGTTTGCCGAGGCAGATGGCGGATGGGAAAAAGCTAAGGGTGGTCAAACCAAGACCTGTCACGAGGGTATAAAAACTCTTACCAGGAGACTGGGTCACGTAGGTCCTGTTAGGCTCCCTAACTGGGAACCTCGGGATGATCGTACCCGATGGTTAAAGACGCTGGGTGTCGTAAACAATGGCGTTCGTGCATCTACTCATTATTCTTGTGACTTTAGTCTATGTGAATTAGCAATCCTTCGCTAAATTTGCTCTCAATATTCCACCCTTCATTCTGGTATTTCATCCTGATAATCAACCAAAACCGGTGGCCGATTGTGCATGGTTAATGGTTGTAAGAACAGGACTGAACTGAACTTTGGGAGCCTTCAGTGTGGCAGGTAAATCTTCCACACACCATATCCATAGACTTGGTTGTAGGATTTCACAATCCTTGGCTTCGAAGTGCTTCGTAACCGTCTCCGCAAGCAGGCATGACGAACCCATTGGAATTCCTCGTATTTGCTGGTAAACCTTCCCGTTTAATTGGAAGTAGGTTTCTATACAGAGTTCTACGAGTTTCCCTAGTTCGCCCAAGGATTGCGTCGTTCTTGATTGCAAATTTTGGTCGTTCTGCAACAAGCGCTGAGTGCTTTCGATGATTGTTTCGATATGTTGGTGAACAGTGAAGTCACTTCGAAAGGAACCAATACTTCTGGTTCCGTGGTCAGTCCTTTGATGCGTTCCAGGAATGCCGAGAGATCTTTTGTATCATTTTGGTTCGCGAGTAGAGATGGATGCAGTAGTTGCAAGAGGAACCTTGCGAGATTGTAGTGGGATGCTCTTGTGAATGCGATAATGGGTCATGATGAAATATGCGATTTGTGCACCTTTGACAGTCTATTGAACCGTGGTGTCGGGCCTTCTGTGGGTTTGATTTGTCTATATTCTTCATCTGTTGGTTTCTTGTTTTCTTGATTATGAAAAAGGATTTGGTTGGTTAATTCCTCCGCTGCTTCACGGGATTTCTGTTGACTGGTCGATACGTTTCTGTCTTCGATGAGTTGTTTCATCTTTTCTGCGTATTCCGTTTTGTCTAACAGTCTGATTACATTGCATTTATCTAACGGAAGGATGACACTATCGAAGTACTTTCTTATCGATTTCACTGCTCTCATTTAGGCTTCAGTGATCAACTGCGATTGTTTGGGTTGGATGAACTGTTGGCATATCATGATCGTAATACCTCTTTTTATTCTTTGGGTAAGCAACAATTTTCTAGTCCACTTTCCACTGATGCGATGAATTCGACTAAAGTTCAATGAAAATATACTTCCTCAGTACTAGTATATGGCTGAAAATATAGACTATCGGATAGGCATAACTGACGAGCGGCAAGGACCGCAAAACCGGTAGTGTGCTTTCAAGGAAATTTTGTCCAGTGATTCACATACTACTAATTGTAATATATATATATATTGTTTAACATCCAAGTGTCGAGTATGTGCTGCTAACCAGTGACGGCTGTTTGCACTTTGCCATAGTGGCATGTTGCATTCCG